ATATTGTTGAAGAGAAGATGATATATATATATATATATATATATATATATATATGCTTAAATACATTTTGTCACTGAGTGTCCGTACATACTGGATGGCCATATTGTTGAAGAGAAGATGATTATCCCTTAAATGTACAGTATATATTTTAGTTACTGCTATGTCGTCCTTATCACTGCATTGTGGTTGTTTGGTTGTTTGGACATGAATCCATTTTTTCTGGGACTTTTTTTAACTGCCCACAGCTAGAGCAGAGCACATACAGGGACCAGACTTGCCTGGAGCGCTGAAGAATAGAGATTATTCTTTTTTGCTCCTAAGCCTCTGGAAACAGCAGTGAGTCTAGATGTATTATTAGTCTGACTAGGAAAGGGAGCCTAAGAGACGTGAGTTTACAGTGGAATTTAGTGAGCTTAGTTGTTCAGACAGGATGAATGAAGGAATCCTGCTAGGACAAGGAGACAGCGAAAGTAGGGAAGAGTTAACACAAAAAGTGCACTTTTCTCAGGTTGTTGACATCTTCAATATCCAATAAAAGCTATGAAACAGTTGACCAACTGGTGGGAAATGGGCAAAGGTCATGGTAGTTGGATAACAGATGGTGACATTTGTATCATGCCAGTCTGATGTTACTCCTTTTTAAAAAACATCTTGCCATGCTAAAGGATTTCTCTAACAAGGCTTCAAGTTTCTATTTGTTGGAAAAGCAGCAGACACTCTGCACTTTCCCTCCCTTTGCCCCCATAATCCCAGCACCATAATTTCTAGGGACTGAGCCAGAAACTGGACATGAGGCATTTTAAAGCAGACTTTTACTCTTTATCTTTACAAAGGTGTAGTTTGCCATATGCAGCTTTTATTCTGCTCACTGCAGAGCTATTAAATGAACCAAAAGAGCTGCACTATTCTTCTAAACTAAGCAACGGTGCCCTTTTTCTCAGAGCATCTGCAAATTCAGCATGAAATACAATCTGCAGGGGATGGTGCAGCACAACAAAAAGTTTGGCCTGAACATTTTTCTTTAGGTGGAATCAGATATTGTGTGTCGATGGTACAGCGACTGGTGGTTTAGTGAGCAGAAGGAAGACTGAAGGTCAGTAAGAGTCAGAAGGACTGCAGATCAGCTGGATGACTTTATGTGTTGCCACTAGCAGACCACCCACTGAGAAATCAACCACTTATCCACACACTGTCCTCTTTTAATCTTCCTCTTTCCTGTCTCTCTGTCAGTCAGACAGTAGGAGATGTCTGCATCTGCAGGTGAATATTTGATACCTTAAGCCCTGACCCCTTCTAGCTCTGCCCATTTCTTTTTGCAGCTTCAGCTTAATGCTTTACCCAGCAGATAAAAAAATACACTATTGAGCGGTAAATGTATCTAAGATGCAGCTCAGAGACTTAAAATCTTAAGCTTATGAAGTCTTTCAGCTCAAACGTTATTTGAAATCTCCCTTCAGTGTTTTCTGCTGTGATCTAGAGATCCATTTGTTATCTTGACTCCTCAAAGGAAACCAGAAACTTGTTAAGATGGAGCATCTCATTTGACATTTATTGTTTGATTTTAGTCTGTGTAGAAGAATAACTGAATGAATGTTTAAAGAAGGGATGTTTTGATCCGCTTAATCAAAGTCAGTGTAGCTGTTTAGGCAGGAAAAATGTTCTAAATACGTGTGACTTTATTCAATTTCTCAGTCAAAGAAATTGGAAAAAGCATTCCTACTGATATTGTCAAGTAATTTTATTTTGGAATTCCAAAACTTATTAGATGTACTAAACCAGCTTTGATGGGGTAAAATGTGAAGATTGTCTATCCTCAATGGGTTTCCTATCAAAGACCTAAAAGTAAAGTAAAGTGCTATGTGTTGCCATCATTGTATGTTCCCATACAATGACAAAATTAGTTCTTTGCATTTAACTCATCACACCTGAGATACACCCAGGTGGAGCAGTGGGCAGCTATGTAAGCGCCCTGGGAGCAATTACAGATTAGATGTCTTGCTCAGAGACACCACGACATGTGGGCATGGCGGGGAGTTGAACCTGCAACTTTCTGCTCTTATTAATGCATTTCATACATATCATCCTTTCAGAGAAAAATAAACAATATTTCCACTGACATATATTTTACATTTTTAAACATTGATGTAAATAGCAATGTTTATCTTTTTTCAAAGTGTAATTAAGAAATACACATAGATATTTTCTTTTCACAACAGGCTGGTCATCTAATCTGTGTTCTTACTAATTTCCTCCAACAGCAACAGCAGCACATAAAATTGCAGTTAAAAGCCTTCTATAGTTTCGGAGAAAAGACAGCGTGAGTTACTTAAAATAAACCACCATATCTTCATGCCATCAATGCAAGATATCCCTGTTTATACAGACAGCTGTGTAATGAAAAATGACAATATGCTGTCATACTTGTAATATCTTTGGTCATGGTGGATGGATGGGTCTTTTATAAAAGTATATGAAGGAAGTGACGTTTGATTTATACTATTCTAAAGCTGTTTAAAAATAAATCAAACGAAGTATATTTCATTTAGTCAAGTACATCACATGAAATCAGAGTTTAAGTAAAAAGACCAACTCATTTTGTGGTAATTTTAATTAGGACTGAATGTCATTAGCTAGACCTCATACCTCCACCTATTTTAGTTCCCAGTTTTGTGTTGCATCAGTATTTACTGTCATGTTTGGAATGATTTTATTTACTGTTCTACGGAATGCTCTTCCCACAGGGCTTGGTAATCCTCTTAACATGTGGGGGGCATAGAATTTTTTTGCCTCGAGTGTGGCTCCAGGCATTGCCTAAGGCTTATGGCAAATTTGGCAGCAACTTCCAAGCCTCAACCTGAAACCTGGCCGTGCTTTCCCAGCCTTAAACCTGCCTCCGTTTCTCCTGCGTCCATTACCAAGCCCCAGATCCGTTTTTAGCCCACAGCCTGGAACATCTTTCTGGTAATACATCAGTAGGCATTATGTCCCCAGTAACATCAGCATCCACTGGGGGAAGCATAACCTTGGGAGTGACTTTGTGGCTGTCAGTGCCACTTCACACATCCTCCTGTGAATCTTAACATGCCTTCAGACTCCAAAGAAAGGCAAAGTTGAAGAGGTTGTCCAAAGTTTGGGAAATGTTTGTTCATCATAAACATGGATTTGACACATTGAGTCTTTATGTGATTTGCAAACTAATCTCCTTGTTGATAATTTAACTTCATTTTAATTTTAATATTAATATGTATTTTAATATTAATATGTAATTAATATATTTAATACCTGATGATTAGTGCCACTTCAGGCTGTATTACACTTAACCTGAGACTGCAAGCAAGCAAAGAAACAGCAGATGGAGTACAATTTGTCAGCAAATCTTTGTATGCTGAATAATCATCTTGATTAAGGAGACAGAGGCTTTGATTACAGTTTTCCCAACAAAGGCGTTCAATTGAGTCATGTTTAGTTTAAATTAATTTATCTCTTCTACACTTGACTGAAAGACTCATGAGGCTAATATTATATTTTATGAACTCACAAGATTTATTACAATTAACAAGTGTATGCACTGGATCTGTGCTTGACTATAAATGGCTTGTACATACTGTACGTATCAAGTATGCAGCTCAATGTGTCAGACAGTAGGCGCCAAAGCTTTTTCTATTGCTATTGGCCAAATAGTGCTGCTTTCTAATTCAGCCAACATGGAAATATATGCATGCATATAGACCGTCTGTTAAGCTTCATTCCTAATGTTTATGTACCCTGTGTTCAGTCTGTAAAGTGGCAGGCTTCAAATGAAATAAATGGCAAAATGTGCATGGTGGTAACTAAATCCAGTGTCACCATTACATACTCACCACAAGCCACAGTGATCTTCTCCATCCCCAGTTTTTACTCACTCTGGCTCCAGAACCATTTCCTTCCCTTGTGTCCCATCAGTGGCTGTTTCCCACATCCTACTGAGCCATTAGTCAACTCTGATGTGGCAAAGCAGTGATGATCACTCTGTATGAAGGATGAAGACAGAGTTTTTTGCCTTTCAGTGGGCTTTATATGTCTGTCCCTCAGCAACCTTGCTGTCTAGTCTCTTGGTAAATGTTGATATTATTGTTACCACTGATATTTCTAAAAGCTATGTGTTGACTTCGGAGAGGAGTTAAAGAGAGATTAACAATGAATCTCAGACAGATGAAGATCTCCAGTAGATTTGATGATGTGTCTTTTTGCTCTCTGTTGTGTTTTTAACTGTGTGTTTTAATATAGAGGTGTGCACAGCCATTTATTTGGATAATGGGTGAATGAACAAGTGTGTGCTACTGTAGATAGCTGCCTGTTGGTGGAGTAAAGCTATTAGTTTTCAAAGTACAGTGTTTTGTTTGACATAAAATGGTCAACGCACTGGCTTCTCCATTATTTATAGCTTCTCCACATGTATCCATTTCTTTCTAAAGTCATTTGCTGAGCACTATTCATACACTATTCTCACTCTCCCCGTTTTTACTTCCACTGTCTTCCTCTCTTGTTCTCTCTTATGTATTTCCACCCATGTGGAAAAGTTGTGGATTTTGGTGAAATCCCTAGAAGACAGTGATCAAAGACTGTTTAAACAATCAAAGAGTCAATTTGGTGTTGTAGTAACTCTGTTTGATTGCACTACGTTTTAATGACCATAATTCTGTGGGCGAGTGTGTTGTGTAAGCAGAGAACAGATGGCTTGGAGAGCATATTTTAACAACCAAATGACTTGTTTTTAACACAAAGAGCTGACAAGGCACTTGAATTTTACACAGTTCCAATTTTCCCTTGAGTGGCTCTTTAACTTCATCCTATTTGTCTCTCTCTCTCTCTTTTTCCCATAGGCATTATTCATCAGATGAAGGGGGACTATGAGACTGCACTGAAACTCCACAAAACACACCTGGCCATTGCTCAGGAGCTGAATGACTATGCCGCCCAGGGTCGGGCTTATGGTAATATGGGTAATGCATACAATGCACTTGGAGCCTTTGACCAAGCTGTTCGCTACCACCGCCAGGAGCTGCAAATCTCCATGGAAGTCAATGACAGGGCTTCACAGGCCTCCACCCATGGCAACCTGGCTGTCGCTTACCAAGCCCTTGGTGCTCATGATCGAGCTCTACAGCATTACCAGAATCACCTCAACATAGCTCGAGAGCTCAGAGATGTACAGAGTGAAGCACGGGCTCTGGGAAACCTGGGCAACTTCCACTGCTCTCGAGGAGAATTTCCTCAAGCTGTGCCCTATTACGAGCAGTACCTCAGACTGTCCCCTGAACTCCAAGACATGGAGAGTGAAGGTAAAGTTTGTCACAATCTGGGTTATGCCCACTACTGCTTGGGTAACTACCAGGACGCTGTCAAATACTACGAGCAGGATCTCGCTCTGGCCAAGGACCTCCATGACAAACTGAGTCAGGCCAAGGCATATTGCAACCTTGGTTTAGCTTTCAAGGCCCTTGGAGATTTTGCTAAGGCAGAGGAGTGCCAGAAGTATTTGCTATCATTGGCCCAGTCCCTGAACAATGCACAAGCTCGCTTCAGAGCTCTGGGGAACTTAGGGGATATATTTGTCTGTAAAAAAGATGTAGCTGGAGCCATTCAGTTTTATGAGCAGCAACTGGCCTTAGCTCACCAGGTAAGACCACATCAGATAAATGTAATTACTGAACAGTTTGGCATACAAAATAAGAACTATATTTTTATATCATTCACTTATGTCCCTCTTGCTCTCATTTCAGGTTAAGGAGCGTAGGATGGAAGCCTGTGCTTATGCTGCTCTCGGAGCCACCTACAGACTTGTTCAAAAATATGACAAAGCCCTCGGCTACCACACCCAGGAGCTAGAGGTGTACCAAGAGCTTGGTGATGTGTCAGGAGAGTGCAAAGCCCATGGCCACTTAGCAGCTGTCTATATGGCTCTTGGAAAGTATGCCATGGCTTTCAAGAGCTATGAGGAGCAGCTAGAACTAGGTCGAAGGTTAAAGGATCCTGTTGTGGAGGCACAAGTTTATGGAAACATGGGCATAACAAAAATGAATGTCGGAGTGATGGAGGAGGCTATTGGCTACCTGGAGCAGCAGCTGGCTACTCTGCAGCAGCTGAGTGGAAACGAAGCAGTGATGGACCGAGGAAGGGCATATGGAAACTTGGGAGACTGCTATGAGGCTCTAGGAGATTTTGAGGAGGCCATCAAGTACTATGACCAATATTTATCAGTGGCACAGAGTCTAAATCGCATGCAAGACCAGGAGAAAGCCTACAGAGGCCTAGGCAGTGGGCACAGGTGAGACCTCTTCACTTTTTCTTTCGTCTATGAAAATATAATTTATTAGTTTATCTTAGTGCTTGTTGGTAATGGTACAAAGGTAATTGCATTTACTAGAGCTTTAGCGGTAGTCACAACAATTTGCATGCAATTTATCTATTTTTGTACTTGGTCATAAACTCTGTAGTTTGACACATGTTTCTGATAAGCAGTGCTTAAAGGTGAATCTGCTGCTAGCTGTGTCAGCAGCAGCCTAGTAGTCTTGACCTTAAAGATATGCAAAGTAGTTTGGTGCACAGATGTCCTAGAGAGGGAAAAGTATCATTTTAGGACATTTTCATACGTCTTGTGCCTCCTTCTATCTCTCCGGTTTCCTCTTAAAGAGCAGATAAAAACCCGAGTATACGCAAAATAAAACACGAGCAGCTTGCTGAAATGCTCATTTCAAAGGTGATTTTCTTCTCATTGTTCACCGTGAGCATGGCACCAAAGTAATCACACACAGCTGTATTTGCCATGCATGAGTTCAGAAGGGAATAATAGACATCAAACACAAATGCCTCTCATCTTTCTGCAGTTCTTAGTCAAGCAAATACATTATCACACAACATTAATTAGGCTGAAGGCTTTTATTCTTGTAATGCTCCATTTGAACTGGTACACAGCAAGTGACTGAGTGTCTGAGAATGTGAATAAAGTCTGTTTGAAATTTATGAAGGTGAATAAAATGTTCATATGAAAGAAGGGATCTCTGTGTCATATTAGAGGTTGGCAAATGACGTTACCCAACAAAAGCACTTACGTTTCAAATTCCTATCATGCCTAAAACAGTTCTCTCATACACTATTGGTAGTTAATTCATACCAGCAGTTACCTGTACTGGATAGAGGAAACACATTTCACTGATGTAACACCTTAAGTTATCTTTGTGGTTTAAACTCTCCCTGCTGTGTGAACTCTGCTGTTTTATTAATACTGTAGCCCTCTTATAATAAATAAAATGTGTTTGTATTAAAATGTATAAATAAATTATTTTAATTATTTTAATGGTTTTTTACTCAGACAAATATGTCTCAGTATTCAACAGAAAATATCATTGAAGATAGTTTGTCTTATTGAGTTTTTATTCTATATAATGGCTTTTTGTTTTCATTTCCAGGGCCATGGGAAACCTTCAGCAGTCACTGGTGTGTTTTGAAAAGCGACTTGTTGTGGCACATGAGTTAGGTGAATGTGGAGGCAAGGCTCAGGCCTATGGCGAGCTTGGTGCGCTCCACAGCCAATTAGGCAATTACGAGCAGGCCATTTCCTGCCTGGAGCGCCAACTGGCCATCGCCCGTGACACCCAGGACAGACTACTGGAGGGTGATGCCAGCTGTGGTTTGGGAGCTGTGTACCAAGCTATGGGAGAGTACGAGACAGCCCTACGATGCCACCAAAGTGACCTGGACATTGCAGAAGAAGCAGGCAGCACCACACGACAGGCTCGGGCTTATGGGAATCTGGGCCTTACCTATGAGTCACTTGGAAACTACGAGCGAGCGGTTGTGTTTCAAGAACAGCACCTGAGTGTGGCAGCTCAGACTAATGACTTGGCTGCCAAGACACTGGCCTATGGCAGCCTGGGGAGAACACACCATGCTCTGCAGAACTACTCACAAGCTGTCATGTACCTGCAGGAAGGTGAGTGAGTTAAAGGGAGCAGGGGAAAGGATTGCCTTTGTTGCTCGAGCTGATAGGCTTAGAGTTTGTGAATTCATGAATATGAAATTCAGAGCCTATTTATTGCTAAGCCTTTGCCACACTTTTATTAGACTGTGTGTGTTTGAGCTTTTTTACTCGTGTGTTATACGTGCACAGAGGGATTTTGTGTGAGCATTATGCATTTGTGTTGTCCTCTGAGCTGTATAGGTATACCAGCATTCGTGTTTGTCTGCCTCTGCAGACCTATCAGAATACTGCCGAGTATTTCTCCTGTTTTCTGCTTGGCGTTTTTCACACTTCTGTATCTACTTTCTCGGAGGGGGTCTTTTGCAGAGAGCTGCTAAAAGAATCTTTTCACACAGAGGCTGTCAGACTCCCGCCTCTCAGCTTCCTGTCCTCTATAGATTATGGTGAAATAAAAAATCTGAAGCTCGGCCTCTTGAAAATTAATTATGTTAGTGACACTTTGTGAAGTGTTTGTCACTGAGAATGTGATAAGCGGAAACTTTCATGAGCTAAATGTTCACACATCACCATACTGGCTCATATTCTTAGATAGAACCTGTTTAAATTTTAAAAAATAAAGGAGTTTCCCGCAGAAGATGTTTGAGCATTTCACCCTGCAGGGACAGCAATGCAAAGGGACAAAAATTAATTTGCTCCATCTCTTCTTCATTCACCATTAAAAGTGAGCAAAGTCTGCTGTGGCCCACTCACCTGCTGCAGACTGCATGTTGAGTTTAAATGGAAACAAAAGGGACAGGCTATTCTGTCTCCTCCCTGTCCTAGGGTTGTCTCCCCGTGCTGTCCTTGTATTTCTCCACGTTTTGGCTTTGAAAAAGCAACGGTGCCTTCACCAACCATGACAGCCAATTATTTCTGGCCAAGCTACCCAAACTGAAAAGTTGCCACCTTTTTTTTTTTCCTTTTTTCTTTTCCGTAGCTTTTTTTCCTACTCTTCATGCAGCACTGCTTGTTTTTTGTTTTTGGCAAAAAAGAGGACTAATTAGGAAGAGGACTAAAAAGGCAGCTCTAAACTGGCGCATTGCATACTTTAGAAATATTGTGGCCACCATATCACTTTGCATATATTAAAATATGACCAATAGTTTTTATGTTTTGGGCAGTAGTACATATGGATGAGACTGACTGTGTACAACACATAAACAAACCAATAACAACTAAATGGCAAACCTAATTTATGTCAAATGAGCAGTTTGCACAACACTCCAAGTTATTTTTGTGTAATGTTGTGTTACATTTTTCAAAAGAGTAATTTCACACACTCATTGATAGGCAGAACGACGGCTCAGTGGTTAGTACTGTTGCCTCACAGCAAGAAGGTCCTGGGTTCAATCCCCGGTTGGATCTGGGGTCTTTCTCTGTGGAGTTTGCATGTTGCATTGTATACCTGGATTACTGAGCATGGACTTTGTTGTTTTCAACCAGTTTGACAAGACTGTCAACAAGGAAGAGGGCCGGCAATGGAGGAGGGGGCGTACCAAAGAGACCATCTTATCACAAGCAGAACTGGTTTGTTCCACTTTGGAGTAAGCTGTTGGGGGAAGAATCAGTTTTGTTGTGTGTTTCCTTGACTGATGAAGCCTTCCGGACCCAAGGCGAAACGTTTCAGCACAAAAAAAAAAAAAACCTGTCCAGATGACCTGACTGAAAAATGTTGGAGTTTGCATGTTCTTCTCATGTTTGCGTGGGTTTTCTCTGGGTACTCCTGTTTCCTCCCACAGACCAAAACATGTATGTTAGGCTGACTTCAGGCCCAGGCTTCCCTTGCAAAAGAGATCTGTGATCTCAATGGGGTTTGTCTGGTTAAATAAAGGTTAATAAACACAACAAGTCAATAGTATTAATACATCATACAACCATTTTCATGACTTTTATCATGTTATTACTGTTTCTGCATGCTTAGTCTTTTTAAAAAGCTAATGGAACCTACTAATACTACATCCATTATCTTTACCCGCTTCTTCCTATCTGGGTCGCGGGGGTCACTGGTGCCCATACCCAGCAGGCACTGTGCAAGAGTGCCTGTTGGATATGGGCACACTGGACACTGGACAGGCCGCAAGTCCATCACAGGGACACATCAAGACAAACAGCCATTCACTCTTTGACTTAAGGGCAAATTAAAATGACCAATTAGCCTATCTTGTTCATGTTCTGTGGGAGGAAACTGGACAAAGCCCATGCATGCATGGAGAAAACATGCAAACTCCACCTAGGCCAGGATTTGATCCAGCAACTTTCTCACTGAGAGGAAACAGCTCTACTGTACCACTGTGCCACCCCACTAATAGAACAAGGCAAAAGTACAAAACACTATTTGCTTTTGAAAATTTTAATTCCTCTTTTTTTCTGGATGTAAATCACTATTTTTCGTATGATTACTTCCTCTGGTATTGGATGCTGTGCAGCTGGAAGGATTTTTAAAGAAACTTTTCTACTTTTGGGCATTTGTTATGATGTGTAACCATGGCGACAAGGTGTTTTTTTAACAACCAGGAGCATCTGATTAACATATCAAAAGCTCAAATACATCAGCTACAGCCCCAAAGGAGTAGAAAAGGAGGCACCGTGGTTGAATTTCCATCAACCTGGCAGCTGTGCTCGAGTACCTGACCACCAAGATCATGGAGCTGGTGGGAAACTCAGCTTTTGACAACGGGAGGACCAGGATCATTCCCCAACACCGTAAGCTGGCTGTCTGTGGTGACGAGAAGCTCGGCAGACTGCTGGGAGGAGTGACCATCGCTCAGGGAGGAATTCTACCCAGCAGTCGGGCAGTTCTGCTGCCTAGGAGGACCGAGAGGCCCACCAGATCTGACAGCAAGCTGGATCCAGGTGGATGGATCAGTATCTGTGGCCAGATTCTTTGAACTCACTGCAGGAGAACCTTCCTGCCCACAGCTCAGCATCTATAACAACTCTTGAACAAAACCAAGATGATGAGCTACAACAACACTTAATTTCCCTCTGGGATTAATAAAGTATTTTTGAATTGAATTGAATTGAATTGAACCAGAGTGGTGTTCTGTTGTTGGACTTCTGTGCTCGTCATGGATTGTCAATAATGAACACCTTGTTCTGGCATAAGTGTGTCCATATGTGCTCTTGGCACCAGGACACCCTAGGCCGCAGTTCGATGATCGACTTTGTCATCGTCTCATCTGATCTGCGGCTACATGTCTTGGACACTCGGGTGAAGAGAGGGGCGGAGCTGTCCACTGATCACTGCCTGGTGGTGAGTTGGCTCCGATGGTGGGGGAGGATGCTGGTCAGACCTGGCAGACCCAAACGTAGTGTGAGGGGTTGCTGGGAACGTCTGGCAGAGTCTCCTGTGAGACGGAGTTTTAACTCCCACCTTCGGGAGAACTTCGAACATGTTCCGGGGGAGGTAGGGGACATTGAGTCCAAGTGGACCATATTTCGTGCCTCTATTGTCGAGGCGGCTTACCGGAGCTGTGGCCGCAAGGTTGTCGATGCCTGTCGCGGCGGCAACCCTCAAACCCGATGGTGGACACCGTCAGTGAGGGATGCTGTCAGGCTGAAGAAGGAGTCCTATTGGGCCTTTTTGGCCTGTGGGACCCCAGAAGCAGCTGATGGGTACCGGCAGTCCAAGCGACATGCGGCTCGGGTGGTCGCTGATGCAAAAACTCGGGCATGGGAGGAGTTCGGAGAGGCCATGGAGAATGACTTCCGCATGGCTTCGAGGCGATTCTGGTCCACCATCCGGCATCTCAGGGGAGGAAAGTGGTACGCCACCAACACTGTTTATAGTGGGAGTGGTGTGCTGCTGACCTCAACTCGGGATGTTGTGGGTCGGTGGGCGGAATACTTTGAAGACCTCCTCAATCCCACTGGCACGTCTTCCACTGAGGAAGCGGAGCCTGGGGACTCTGGGTCGGGCCCTCCAATCTCTGATGCTGAGGTCACCGAGGTGGTTAAAAAGCTCCTCGGTGGCAGGGCCCCAGGGGTGGATGAGATTGTCCCGGAGTTCTTTAGGGCTCTGGATGTTGTAGGGTTGTGTTGGCTTACGCGACTCTGCAATATTGCGTGGACATCGGGGGAAGTTCCCTGGATTGGCAGACCGGGGTGGTGGTCCCCCTATTCAAAAAGGGGGACCATAGAGTGTGTTCCAACTACAGGGGAATCACGCTCTTAAGCCTCCCTGGTAAGGTCTACTCGGGAGTTCTGGAGAGGAGGGTCCGTCGGATAGTCGAACCTCAGATTCAGGAGGAGCAGTGCGGTTTTCGTCCTGGCCGTGGAACACTGGACCAGCTCTACACTCTCAGCAGGGTCCTGGAGGGTGCGTGGGAGTTTGCCCAACCGGTCTACATGTGCTTTGTGGACTTGGAGAAGGCGTTCGACCACGTCCCTCGGGGAACCCTGTGGGGGGTACTTTGGGAGTATGGGGTACCGAGCCCTTTGATATGGGCTGTTAGGTCCCTGTATGACCGGTGTCAGAGCCTGGTCCGCATCGCCGGCAGTAAGTCGGGCTTGTTCCCAGTGAGCGTTGGACTCCGCCAAGGTTGCCCTTTGTCACCGATTCTGTTCATAACTTTTATGGACAGAATTTCTAGGTGCAGCCAAGGTGTTGAGGGGATCTGTTTTGGTGGCCTTAGGATTGCGTCTCTGCTTTTTGCAGATGATGTGGTCTTATTGGCTTCATCAGATCATGATCTACAGCTTTCGCTGGAGCGGTTCGCAGCCGAATGCGACGCGGCCGGGATGAAGATCAGTTCCTCCAAATCCGAGGCCATGGTCTTTAGCCGGAAAAGGGTAGAGTGCCCTCTCCGGGTCAGGGAGGAGGTCCTACCCCAAGTGGAGGAGTTTAAGTATCTTGGGGTCTTGTTCATGAATGAGGGAAAAATGGAGCGTGAGATCGATAGGCGGATAGGTGCAGCATCTGCAGTGAAGCAGGCGCTGTACAGGTCTGTCGTGGTGAAGAGAGAGCTGAGTCA